AGGTAATCCCCGCCCCGCCCCGCCCCGCCCCGCCGAGCTCCTGCGGCGTCCCACGGCCACCGCCCCGGCCTCGCCGCCGTTGTTATCACTGTACTGCCCTCGTGTGCTGCTGTCCTTACACCTGACGTTTTTATTGTCATCGTTGCTGTTGCTGTTCGTGGTGTTACGCGTGTTATTAGTGCTGGTATGACTATAGTTTCATTGTTATGATCATTAGGACCGCCCTGCACGTGGTCACTGTCGCTGTCATGATCGTTTCATTACTGTCATGATCATCCGTATCATTCACAGGACCCGTTATCCTCACCCTCGTGGCCTTCGTCCTTCTCCTCCCTGCCACAGAGGCATAGACAGCGAGGGCAGGAAGGGAGCTTTCTGGTGCCAGGACCCGCTGGGTAACATCAGTGGCTGGTCCCGACCCTGTGGCCCGGCCCCCCACGTGTGTGGCACTCTGCCAGCCACGGCACCCCGGAGGCATTGGTGACACGCAGGGGTGCAGGTGCACCCCTGGGACTGGCAGCCTGCAGGTGGTCGCCGCTCACCCCCCCACCGCCGCCAACGCCGATGTAGTCTTTTTTTATGGTATATCTAGCTTTTGCAAATTATATCTAACTGAATACTTAAGGCAGCTTGCTGGTGCTGGGAGGGGTGCGGTATACGTATGTTAAGGAATGCTTGCCCGCTGGGAACAAAATGCCTTGTAGGCAAGCCCAGACAAGTACAGACATGTTCTGTGGCTAAGGGAATATGCGCATGGGCTAAGAGAAGGCAGCCAATAGTAACGGTACAGCGTGTTAAGTGGGAGAAACTATATAAGGCTGAAGCAAGCCAAATGGGGTGGTGCTTGCTTTGCGAACGATCGCCAAGCACCCCTCTCTGTGCAGACTTGAAACAATAAAGATTAAGTTGGATCCTCCACCCCGGTGTGTTTATTGGCAAGAGCGCACCGGGCACGAACTCACACTGTCCTTTGGGGACAACAATTTGGCGACCCAGATGGGACCCCATTGACCGCCTTGCCCGGTCCACCTCCTCGGCTCTGGCAATGGCTGTGGACGGCGCGAGGGCCAGGCGCCACCGGCCCTTTTCATCGGAGGTCGGACCGCCTCCTGGTTGTTTGACGGAGCCGTGGAGGGGCACAACGGCGCAATGCTCAGAGGAACAACTTAATCCGACGGGATGAGGGAGGTCTCAACGGACTGGTGAGTGTCTCTTTTGATTTACGGATAGCTTGGGTAAGGGAGGCGGCTTTAAAAGTTCCGACCGTGTAGACGCCCTAGGAGAGCAAGACCGGGTGGCAGTCCCGTGAACTCCCTTTAATCAGTTTGGTTCTGAGGCTGAGCGACGGTCGCCATCCATTGTTTAATAGATGAGGACAACAACACCACCGTCAGCGTCTGTAGGCGGTCACCAGTCAATACTGCCAGCGGCATCCACAGGTGCTCGCCACCGCTGCAGCCGCCCGTGGGCAATCCCCACTCAATCCATGCTTGCCACCAACATCAGCACGGCCGCCTGCGGGAGCTCACCGCCACCACTGCCCGCAGGCGCTTGCCATGCCCCCCCAGGCTCGGGAGACACAAAGCATTCATGCCCCAAGGTTTATTCAGGTGCCTGCGCAGCATTGGTCAGATTGATCTAAATACTTTAATACTCATATTGGCGCCCGCTGCTTTTTCTTTTAAATTTGAATCTGCCCTTGGGCACATAAATGTTGGGAACCCCCGCTGTAAGGGGGAAGTTGCGGTTTCCCACGTTTTCCTCCTGCAAAGGAGAATCCATTTTTAAAGTCTTGCAACTCACTTTTGGGTCATGACCCATGGGTTCAGAAATGCTGGTCTAGTCCATGCCCCTGCTCAAAGCAGGACCGGCTGCAGCTAAATCATCCCAGCCAGGGCTTGGTTGACCTGTGTCTTACAAAAAAGGATGGAGACTCCACAGTCTCTCTGGGTAGCTTGGTGCAGTGCTTTATTATTCTTATAATTTCATTATCATCATTTCATTATTATTATTATCATCCTCAATTGTGTGCCAGTTCCAACTGGTGATATTTGGGAACAGTTCAGTTGTTATATGTGTCTGCACCCTCTGGGGCAGAGGAGCCAGTTTGTTTTGAGCAAATGGCTGTGCTAGGACAGGAGCAGCCGCGCACAGCCCTTACTCCGCAGTAAATTACCCTGGGGTGAAATTTTCGATGGGGGAATTTATCTCAAAAAAGAGGGGTTGCTTGTCATACGTTCGCTTTGGTTTTACAGAATAAATCAACTTCAGTAAAAGTGCCGTATGCCTATATCCAATGTTTCCCTGGGTTTAAATGTCTGAATGTCAGCCTGTAACATAGTTAAAACATTTGAAAGGCCGTCACTAAAAGAGCAATCATAGGCACTAAAAGACTGTGTGTCTGCAAGCTGAGAGAGGATGTAGACAAGCCTGGAGAGGCAGGTGTCTGATCCGAATTACAGTTTCCTTGTCCCATGGCCAGGTGAGCGGGCACCGTTCCCTGCCAGGTGCAGATGTGAGAGCCCGGAGATACTGCAAAGAGGGGGCTGAACAGAGGGCGATGAAGAGTCCACTACTGGCCAGAGGGCAGTTAGATGGCAAGATAGTACAGGGGAATGGGTGCCCATGGTGGGTTGTGGGGAGGCCTGTGACATATTGAGTATTACAATTGTCTGGGGCTGCTGTTTGCACTGCAGTTACCGTGGGCAAGCGATCCCTCACCTAGGGTGCAGTGGTGTCTGTCCCGTAGCTCTGTGAGTGGTGACTACTTTCTGGGGTAGGTTATGGGAGAGATCTGTGTTGCTTCAGCAATGAAGACAGCGCCTCCGTGGCTGGAAGGCTTAAAAATGTCTCTGTGGCTTCCTTGGTGAGAGAAGCCAGGTCTGAGCTGGAATGAAGTGACTAAGCCTTGTCCCAGCATGACGGTAGGTCTGCCCCTGCGCCCATGGTGGGGGGAACTGTGTTGTGATGTGGACCAAAGGCCCATCTGAAACCACCCTTCTCCCTCTGACAGGTTTCAGAGTGACATCCACGCTTTGCTCACGGAGCGGCCCAGCCTTCTAGGGTGACAGGAGAGGGAGGGAGCTGCAGCAGGGATGTCTCAGGTAGGGGATTCATGGGGAGCAGTGTGTATGAGGGGTGGGGGAGCGGGTGCTGAAAGGGGAGAGAGGCAGCAAATCCCCAAGAGGAAGGAGAGTAGAGGAGCAAAGTAAAAGGATGACTCTGAATATGTAGGCAGTTGAGAGAAGACAGAGATTCCTCTGTTTATAGCATAAGGAAGTGGCTTTTCCTGAGTACTGCTATGAAATATGAAGGTGGGCACCCTTCTTGAGAGGCCCCGGGGAGATGCTTCATCCCTTTATTCTGCTGCTGGCAAGTATTGGGATTCCTGTGTCCCTGGAACCTGCTCAGGGAGGTTCCTCTTTTCTTCCCGTTGTGTTTTGATCAACAATGAAATAATTGACAGTGTTGACATTTGACTTGTCATCATTAGACCCCAGAGTCAGCATGCATTAAGATGAATGGGACAGTTCATGCTTCTTGGAGCTATTGTGTCAGGCTGGCAGCAGGCTCAGGCACCTGGTTACAGCATCAGTTAAAATCCTTCCGTGCTTTTCAACTTTTTGTTCCCTGTTATCGTCTCAGGGGCTGGTAACCTTTGAGGAGGTGGCTATGTATTTCACCAAGGGGCAGTGGGCTCTGCTGGATCCCAATCAGAGAGCCCTCTACAAGGAGGTCATGCTGGAGAATTATGAAACGGTATCCACGCTGGGTAAGGATTCCTGTCCCCTGAGGTATTTGAAGCTGTTGGGGTCTCTGAAGCATTTGGGGTGGTTTCAGATCTCTTAGAAATCATAGATATAGATATGTCCCATGGTGAGCTTGGCGCCCTCTCCCCCCCTGGCCCTCAGCCAAGGAGCACCTCCACCTGTTTGTTTCTGCTCAGTGCAGACCAAAGCCTGGGCTTCTTCTGTCTCATGTAGCCATCCTAAGCAAAGGCCGATTCCCAGGCTTTGGTCTGGCACAGAGGCAGAACAGGCATGCCCTTAGGCCAGGGATGGGCAAAATGCACCCCGGGGGCCAGATATGGCCCACCAGGCCCTTCTAGCCGGCTCTCGGGGCCCCTAAAAAATTTAGAAATTAATTAATATTTATCTGCCCTGGGCTGCCTGTCATGTGGCCCTTGATGGCTTGCCAAAAGTTAGTAAGCAGCCCTCTGCCCAAAATAATTGTCCACCCCGCCTTAGGCTGAAGGGCATTGGGCCCCATTGACCCTGACCCAGGGTGAGAGTTATATCTCCACACCCGCTCCCCAGAGGATGTCAGAAGCATGATGGAGCAGCTAATTGCGCCCTATCCCCTCAGCCCTCTTGGGAGCAGAGGTGTGGGGTACATTCCCACTCATGCACACAAAGCCCCTTTATCCCTACCTCCCTAGGTCCATCTTTGGGTCAGGGCTCTGGGCTCAGGTTTAAAAGGAGGCAGGGGATTGATCCCAGACCTATGTCTCAGAAGTAAGTTTCCTCTTAGGATACAGGTCTTGGAAACTTCCGCTGCGGGTGCAAGTCTCACATTCCAGTGTCTGCCTTTCCTTTCCTAAGGGGCCTAGATCTAGATGCACATAAAAGTATTTTGGCACTTCTTCAGGTGCCTATCCTGCTTTTGAATTCAGTAGCATGTTAGTTGCTTACATATTTTTAGGAGCCCAGCCCTCAGCGACCACCTTCCTACCTACTCAGATTCCCTGTCTGCTCACCAGAACCCAGGGCTGGGTTAAAATGGATTCTTTGTGCTGAACTGTTTGACGTGCATACCATTCACCCTTATCTGCCTGAATTCACCCCCTCAAGCAGGATTTCCTGTTCCCAAACCTGACATGATCACCCAGCTGGAACAAGGAGGAGAGCCGTGGGTCCCAGACCTCCAAGGCTCTGAAGGAAGAGAGATGTCAAGAGGAGCCCACACAGGTGAGGAATCAGGGAAACTGGCACAAAAACCATGCACAGATGGAGTTTGAAAGCTAGGACGCCCACGTGGGCCTCCTGGCTCCCCCTCTCCTGGCTCCTGTCCCCTGTCCTGGCTCCTGTCCCCCAGCTCAGATTTGTAGGCAGCAGGCTGTCACCATTCTTGCCAATCTTCCTGTGCCTGTCAGGTGCATAAGGCAAATCAAGAGGTACCAGTGCCTGGACTCATTCTTCCAAACCTGCATTCAGAGGAGAAAGTGCTGCTTTTGGTGCTGTGCAGTGTGCTGCAAAGCACACCCCACCCATTTGCACACCAGATCCCAGAAAATGAGGCCATGGAGCTGCTGTAGAGTGGCTCCTGGGTCCTGTCTTAGGAAGCTGCATTGCATCCATTCTGGGATCTGGTGTGAGCAGATAGAGGGTGAGTGTACGAAGTCTGCTTCGCAACAGCACTTCTTCATGCACGGTGGCATCAAAAGGCCTTCAGTTGGCTGCTCTGCCTTTCACATGGGGATTGCCAAAGAAGCCCTGGTAGCCTATTACAGTGGAACCTGGATAATTCATACTCAGGTAATGTGCAACTTCTTTAATTCACAGTGTGAGGACTAGAACGGTACATACCTTTTAGTTTAGTACCCAAAAAGTGACTGAAAAGAGTTAAGCTTTCCAAGTCATGCAGGCATCCTATGCCTCATGGTATGCTCCTTTGCACATGCAGTCCTTTGCTATGCAAATCAGTAACTTCCTTGGCAGATGTGTGTTGTGTTTTTACTGTAGGAGTTTTTGGAAGTTCTTGTTTAAACGTGAGTTCGAAGCCCTCGAGTAGTGTTGGTAAAAGGAAGCACTTTACAAGAACAATCCAGGAAAAAATCTCAGCAATTGATCGTGTCAAAAGAGGTGAATTAAAAGCCAAGGTGTGTCAAGATTATGGGGTCACTGCTACCACTATTAATGACTGGCTTAAGCAAGAGTTTCGCCTTCGTACTCGACTCGCTGTATCTGGTGGATGGTCAACCGTAAAAACATTAAAAAAATCAAAATATGATGATTTGGAGGATGCTCTGTATTTATGGATCAAGGATGTAAGAAACAAGGATTTGCCTCTGAATGGACCCATTATTTGTGAAAAAGCTAAAGAGCTGTATCGGGTAATGAATCCAGACACCCACGAGGAGTTTCCTGCAGCATCTGGTTGGCTTTGGCGCTTCAAAGCCAGATACCATCTTAGTAATTCCACCAGCTTTCCAAGCGAACGTGCAAGTGTGAATTTGACAGCTGCTGAGGAGTTTAGGAAAAGGTTTTCAGGAATGGTGCAAGGCTACAGCCCACACCAGGTGTTTAATGCTAGTGAATCGGGCCTCTTCTGGAAGAAGATGCCCATCAAAACATTTATAACCCTCGATGAGAAGGCAGCACCCCGTGTCAAGCCAAGCAAAGATCGGCTCGTGCTTATGTTCTGTGCAAACGCATCGGGAAATTTAGCATTGAGACCTTTGCTGGTTTATCGAGCCCAACAGCCACGGGTATTGAAAAACACAACTATGGAAAGACTGCCAGTTGTATGGAAGTGGAATAAAAAGGCAGGGATGACAGCTGCAATTTTTGAGGACTGGTTTGTTAATGAATTTATCCCCACTGTGAAAAGTTACCTGAGTAAGAAGAAACTGGCTCAGAAAGCAATTCTTCTAGTAGACAATGCTGCTTGCCACCTTGAATCAGTAAACACCTTTGATGTGAATTTTCAAGTGGTTTTTCTCCCTCCCAACACTGCTTCTATCTTGCAGCCCATGGATCAGGGAATAATAACTCAGTTCAAGCGTTTGTACACAAGGAAGCTTCTCTCTCATCTTGTTGTTGCCACCAAAGAGGGCACGGAAAATATTCGCAGGTTCTGGAAAGAGTTTACCATCAAGAATGCGATTCATTTGATTGATGAGGCCTGGCGATGTATAACCTCTTTAAGCTTCACAGCAGCCTGGTGCAGGCTATGGGTGGACATTGTCACTGACATACAGGAGTTTGAGTTGGACAGGGCACTGCAAAACAAAGGACTAAAAGACCTGGCAAATCAGATTCCCAGTGGAGGGTTTAACGAGATAGGGGAGGATGATATGGAAGAATTTTTGGAAGACCATTGTCAAGAATTAACCGAGGAAGACATTTTGGAACTGAGCAATGCAACGGAAACAGAAGCAGAAGACATCAAAGCAGAGGAGGAATATGATACAGATGTATCAGGAATGCTCCAAGTGGCTGATCTAGCTAAAATAATGACTACAATTTCCAGCCTCAGGCAGCTAATTGAGGAGCATGACTCTGATCCAGCACGAAGCTTCGCAGCTACGAGGTGTGTTAGTGTTTTACAGTCAATCTATGAAAAGATATATCACGATAGTTTCCACAAGGAAATGATAACAGAAAATGTCTGTGTTCAAACATAATCCCTGTAGCTGTGTATGTGAGCTATGAACCATGAGTTATGAACTATGGTGTGCACTGTGACTCATTATGAATTATGAGATATGATTTCTGTTGTTATGTTATATGGTGCTATATTTGTGTTTGTTCATTGCAGCCTCCACTTCTCCTGATGCTGCTTTTCTAGCCAGCTCAGTGGTCATGTAGTTCAAGGACAGCAGCCATGGACTCCATGTAATTTCTCCTCCTGCTGCAATCACAGCATTCTTCCTAATGGACAGTGCAGCCCAGAGCACTGCCAGGTTTTGCTGGCTACCCCCCAGGCCGGTCTGCCAGCCCTCGCCTTCACAAGGGATTTGGAACCTAACCCTACAAACTGTCCAGGTTCCACTATATCAGGCTCTCATAAACTATGTCCCAAATAAGCTCATCTTTTCCTTTGTTCTGCTTCTATTGTTGTGGGCAGCTAGGCCCATTCAAGGACCTCCTCCTTGCCTCTTCTAACAGTCCACTGTACTGTGAATAGTCTAAAGAGCCTCCAGATGGGAAAGTTATGTTATTTGCGTTGGATGAACTGTGCTTCAGATAGGAGGACACTTCAAGCTCAGCCCTTGTCTACATTATAAAGCTCTGCTGGCAGAGCTACGTCAGCTAGGGGAGGGTGAAAAGATCATAATTCATAGCCAATGTAGTTCTGTCAGCAAAATCCTTGGTGGGGGGCACCTCTGCCAGCAGAATAAGGCTTCAGCCAACAGCCAACATAGCAATGCCACCTAAGTTAAAGGGGCAGTCGCTTCATAGTATAACATAGTCTTTGTTTATTCTTCAGGGAGGTTGCTATTTTAACTGAAGTGTGACAGCACAACAGTGGCTGTAATCCCTGGTGGGGATGCAGTCTGTCAGAAGTTGGATTTGTGTCTGCAGCCAAAGGCGCACCCACCGCTTTGGATGGCAGGAGCTGCCAGCAGAGCTGTGCCCACCCTGAAGGTTTCACTGGCAGAGCTTTCAGCTGTGTTGCATGATTGTTTCACTCCCCTGGCTGACATAGACATTGTTTAGGTTACAAGTCGACCTTTTCTTCCCTCAGAACTAACCAGAAAAATCCCACGTGACTTACATGCTGGTCAACCTACAGTTGGCTACCCCTTTCCCTCATCTGATTGGCAACAAACCTGATTAGAGAAGAATACAATGCAGCCATGATGAGAATGACTTGCTGCTTTGTCAGAGTACACCATCTTTCCCATGGTGAAACACCTGTTTTATTCTAATTTCATCCTGCTATAATAACGGCTTTTAAAGTTGTGGATAAAGTAGAGGTGAGAAGAGCAGTGAAGTTGCAAGTGAATCTAGGAAAGAAGAAGTCGTGATGCCAATTTCAAGTTGATTGTCATGAATTACGTGGAGCAATGCAATAACTGCCAGGCAGCCAAAAATACAGGTTTTAGAAAAAAACCTCCGTGACTGGTGAAAAATGAAAATAAAGTTGAAAAAAGTCTGGCTGATACTCAAGGCCTTTTGAAGGCCAAAAAATGGGAAATTCCAGGAAACAGCCGTGCATGGTTGAATGCATCCAAGAAAAACACAGTTGGGGCCTTCCAATCACAAAGGAAATGATACAGCTGAAGGCTTGGGAACCTACCTGTGAGTTAAATGTATGTAGGAAAGAATTTAAGGCCAGTCTGGGTGTGTGCAGGCAAATAATGAAGAGAAATGGGCTCCCTCTTTGAAGAAGGACCACCCTTGCGCAGTGTCTGTCCAGCTGTTTCAGTGAAAAGCTGATCGCTTATCAGCAACACGTATTTCACCTTAGAGAAGCCCAGTTACAAAACTGGACAAATTGGGAATGCAGACGTGACTCCAGTATGCTCCGACGTGCCAAGCAATGGTGGAGATACAGGATTCCAAGCCCAGCCTTATGAAACTCACAGGAAATGATAAAATGACAATCACCATGATGTTAGGCATTCTAGCAGATGGTACAAAATTACCCCCTTACCTTGTGCTTAAGCAGAAAAACCCTCTTGAGGAGAAATTCCCCAAAGGAGTGTTTGTCCGCTGTCAGAAGCAGGGGTGGGTGACAAAAGAGCGGATGAAAGACTGACTGGAAGTTGTATGGAACAGATGCCCAGGACCTCTTCTGATTTAACAAGACATGCTCATTCTGCAACCGTTTCGGGGATGCATCGCTGATGACGTGGAAGGGAAATTGAAGGATATGAACATGGATCTGGTCATTGTGCCCAGGGGCATGACCTCCCAGCTTCAAGGGCTGGACATTGTCATTGCCATTTCAGGACTGGCTTTGTTCCCTTTACATGGAGTGGTTACTGGAAAGCAACCATGCACTTGCTCCAAGAGGGAAGAGTCTTCTGTTGCCCAGTTGTTGGAGTGGGTTTTGGAAACATGGAAGAGCATCAACAGTGAATTAGTTGTGAAGGGCTTTAAGAAGTGTTGTGTTACAAGGCATGGAAGATAATGTGCTGTGGGAAAATGAGGTAGGAAGCCCTGGTGGGAGCGATAGCAAGGAAAGTCAACTTGGCTACAGCGGTAGTGACAAAACTGCAAGTGAAACCGGTGTGGATTTAGTAATGGACCCTGGACGGGATGTGTGGACATTCTTTCCATGTAGCCCAGCAACTTGATTCTCCTACCTCAGTTCTTTGAGTTTCGTTTCCTTTCTGTATAAAGACAAACTGAACTGGAGAAATTCAGCCAATAGATATTCATTAAATAATTTCAACTTTTGTACTTGCAGTATTTTTCTGCATGCAATAAAAATACCAACTCGTCCTTTTTAAAAAAATTTCAGTGCAGTTTTTATTCTGGCGTTTTTAGTGCACTTAACCCTTTCAGTCCCTTCTGGGTTATTTGATTCTCTTACGGGATTTTGTGAGGGCAGTGGCAGTTCAAGGACTTTATCTGCAGTTTGTTGATTTACATCTGGGGAAAAGCTACTTTCCCAAAAAAATTAAAATATGGGATCAACATACAGGGTGGGATGGTAATTTACAGGGTGGGATCAACATACATACAAGGTCCATTTACTTTTGGGATGGTCGAGTAATTCGGCCACCAGAACTGTGTAATGTCCTTAAGACCTAAGACTGAAGCCTTAAGATCTTAAATTTCATAGATTTCGTAGACATTGGGTCTGTAAGGGATCTCGGAAGATCTTCGAGTCCAGCCTCTTGCCCCAGGGGCAGGAAGTCAGCAGGGGTCATAGGATCCCAGCAAGATAAACATCCAAATGTCTCTTGAAGGCGTTCAAAATAGGTGCTTGAACCACCTCTGGCGGCAGGCTATTCCAGACCTTGGGGGCTTGGACAGTAAAGAAGTTCTTCCTTATGTCCAGCCTGAAACGGTCCTGGAGGAGTTTGTGACTGTTTGACCTTGTCATCCCTTGGGGCGCTCTGGTGAACAGACGTTCCCCCAGATCCTGGTGAGTACCACTTATAAACTTATAGGCAACCCACAGAAAAAAAATGGAGCAGGGTACACTCGGGCAGTGCACACTTGCAGTGCAGAGAACACCAGACTGCAGTACATGATGCTGCAAACGTGTTTGCAACACCACATAATGCATGACCGCACTCGTCTGGACGTGCCCTTGGTGTCTACCTGTACCCAGCCTGGACTTGCGCATTGTTTCCTTATACCTACGTTTTTGGGCAGTAGGAATAGATGCAGTATCCACTCTCTCCCCTGGCAGTGGGACAGACATGCACCCTATTTCATCTCCTCCTTCTGCTCCCTGGCCCTCTCAGTTTATGTGCTCACCTTTTCTAAGCAGGGCCTCTCCTGGTCTCTGCTTCCTCCCCAGCTGTCAACCCCCCTTGCTCTGTTTTGGACTCACCTGCTCCTAGCACTATCAGCTACTTGGTAGGCCCTTTTCATTTTGCTGATGGGTTCCTTTCACAGCCCTCCTGCATCTCTGGAGCAGGAGAAGGACCAGAAAGAGAGACCACGTTTTCTAACAACCCAGCAAACCTTAGCCCAGCTAGAGGACCTCACCCACCAGTGTTGCCTACCCTTGATCTCGTGGTACGAGGCCTCCACCTACTCAAAGGGACTTCTCTCCTTTCCCCCCACATCTCTCCTATACCACTCCCTGAGTCAAGCCCTGCCAGGGCCCCTGGAAGTTTTAACTCTGGTGGGATATATCTGAAGTTTGGACAGTCATTGGTCAGAAGTTATTTCACACTCTTATTTTTGCCTTTTTCTGTGCTGGAAGATTTCACTGTTTGAATGGTGATCACTATAAATGTTAGTGCAAATACTAATGGATGATGGAGAGACACAATCTGAGACTTCCAGAGACCATTAACAAGGAGGACAACTGGGTGAGCCCTGTCCTGACAGGAGACTCAGAAAGAAGGAAGGGGAGGGTGCGGAAAGTGGGAAATATGATGCTGGGAATCTGCAGGGTTTTCTCCAGAGGCCCAGACAGCCAAGGCTGAGAACAGCAAACTCACTACACTGACAACAAGATAGGAAATCATAGACCCATAAGTTTGCAAGGGACCTCACAGGCCATCTGGTCCAGCTCCTTGTGTAGATGCAGGATGTGCTGTTCCTACACACACCTCTCCAGTCTCTTCTTGAAAACTTAGCAAAAGAGATGCCACCACTTTTTTCGGCAAAAATGTTTTCCCTACTAGGAAGTCAACAAACCTGCCACCCCTGAAGCCAAGCCAACTTCCATCACTAAGGCATGAGGGAGATTAGTAGCTGGCCACCCCTTGCCCATGAACTGCAGTTGTTTTATAGTTTCATAGTAGCTAGAGTCAGGAGGGACCTGAACAGATCATCTAGCCTGCCCCCCTGCCACAGGCAGGAATGAATGCTGGGTTCACAAGACCCCAGACAGGTGATCATCCAACCTCCTCTTGAATTTGCCCAAGGTAGGGGCGAGGACCACTTCCCTGGGAAGTTGGTGCTGGATTTTGGCCTCCCTAACTGTAAAATGTTGCCTTCTGATCTCTAACCTAAACCTGTCCATCAGCTTATTACCATTGTTCCTCGTCACCCCAGGTGGTGCTGGGGAGAAAAGGGATCTCCCTATTTGTTATCACTAGTAGAGACGCAGTGGGTGGATGGTGGAGTAAAAAGCATCTACCAATGCTTAAAACTAAGATTTTTAGTTGCCAGTGTCCCATCATATATACATGACCTTGTAGGGATGACTGTGCCATGCAGTGATGCAAGTTACCAAGACTTGACTGGGTGGGAGGGAATCCAGCATTGCACTGGTCGCCTGTTCTGTGTGATGTTGGTCCATTTTGTGTGCGTTTGTGTCCCTGGTCTTTTCCAAAGTCTTAGCTCAACTCCCTTCCTCTGTATCTAAGCAGGCAAGCAACTATGCAAAAACGAATTGACTATGCCAGTGATGGCCAACCTTTTTGGCAAGTGTGCCACGAGTTGAGTCCAAAGTATGAGATAGTGCCAGTCTAATAAGTCACAGCTGTTGAATGCCACTAAGTCCTGTCACCACCAGGACATGGCAAGAATGAATTTGGTGGGATGTCATTTCACAGCTCCCACAGGGCCAAACCCTCAAGCCAGCACCAACCCCTTACTCCCGCACTGAAACTTGAGAGCACAGGGGTCCTTTTAAGTTGAAACCAGTTTTCTGTTCAGCACACAACAGTGACTATACCAGGCCCCTTACTAAGGTAAGGATCATCACCTGTATCTTGCTGGGGAATTCATCCCACCTCCTCCACACACCTAGTCCATCTCCAGGGGGATAAAGGCCTGAGGGGACTCATGGGCAGTGCTATTAATCTGCCCTGCTTCCTGCACTTTTTGACCAGTTAAAATGTGGCTCTGCTGGTCCCTATGGAGTCATGAGCAGTGTTAGGCCAGATTGGAGTTGAAATGCTGCTTCCAGCAGTCAGAATGGCTGCTATGGATGCCCCAGGGTGCCTTCACTACTGCATTTCAGATTTGGTGCATGCAAGTGGGGGCAGGTCCACAGAGCATGCTTGGGAGCATTCCTCCATGGACAGGCCAGGGATGTGGTGCAGGCATCACCTTTTATTAGTCCACATTTGATGTGTTCAGAAAGGTATGGAGAGCCTATAAAGCCAGAAGGAGAGCATGGGGACAGTCTGATGGCTGCTACAGCAGTGCTTGAGCACTGAAAAAAAATGGGGCAAGACTGGAGAGGGTTGTTTCTCCCTGATAATTACAAAGAGGCACATTAATAGCAGAGAGGATTTGGATTATTACAACCTCCCCCCTCAACATACACTAAAAACATTATCAAGGTTGCATGGCCAAATGTGTGCACACGCACGCATGCACACACACAAACACACTAAAAGGAACATCATGCAGGAAGTGTTACCTCTTCTTGCCTGCAAGTGTAAATTAGGATCCCATCTCTAGACAGGCTTGTACGCTCCCCTGCTTGTGAGCATGGGACTCTACCTCACTCATCCTTTTAGACTTGGTGTGTGATGGGGAAACTTTGTCCCTCTCGGTGCTGGAGAGATTCATCCACCACTGTGGCGTTTGAGGGAACCCCGAGGGGGTTATCTTGGGTTGACCATAATGGGGTAGGTTATTAAGAGCAGCCCCCTGTTCTCCCCACTGCCATGTTGCCAGCACTCCTTGCTGTTCCCCCAGGTGAGAGATGTGAGTGACCACACTGCAGGGTGGCCATCCCCACCCCTGTCCTCGCATCTCTCGGTTTTCAACACTTCCTCTGCCAGGGCACAATAGGCAAACCCCACAGGGCCCCATTCAAAGCCTTCCTGAGCCTCCTTCTCCTGTATTCCCACAACGGGCATGCACCAAATCCCTGCAGGTGCTGAGCAGGGCAAGAGGAGGCAGCGACTGCTGTGAAGGTAGCTCTGAAAATGCAGTAAACAAGAGCAGATTCCCAGGGACTGCAGGATCTGAGGCTCCCAGTGCAGAGTCCCCAGCCTGTCCATCTCCAGGGCTTTCCCTGAGGTCTCTCCAAAACCTGGCATCTCATCCCAGTGTCAGATCACGACAGAAGCCCTTACAATGAAGATAAGCACCCCTCTCCTCTCCCTCCTGCAGAAACCCCCACAGCCCTGGCTTGCACACATGCAGGTGTTACACAGCTGGGGCCTCTTCAGAGCAAGGATTTATCTGGGCAGTCACTGTTTCCAGGGCGCTCCAGTTGTTGCTAAGGGAGAGGAAGCTGCTCTTGCTTTTTCTCTGCTCAGGACGTCGAGGGTTGAGCTTCCTGGGTCAGACAATGCTGCTGTCTCTATTGTGATCCAGGAGTCTGGGGTCAGCAGCGGCTGCTTGGCCGGGGGTGGTCTGTGCTGGGGAGAGACCTGCATTGCAGCCTCTCAGTGCCCAGCCCAGGGGGGACTTTATCTGGGGGCTGGAACCAGCCCCCTGGGGCAGCCCCGGGCTCTGCTGATACCGACTCTTAAACCAGACTCCAGGTAATGGGGAAAGTCCTGGGGGAAAGCGCTAGGGACGGGCAGCACAGGGGCGCTGCACACACGGCCCCTCTGCACCCATCTCTGCTCCCCCGGATCTGTGAGTCCCAGAGATGCTGCCCTCGCTGACACACACACAATCTCGCTCCTGGTGCTGAGAGCAGCTGATCCAGCTACTAGAGGGCGAATGCCCCAGAAAGGGGACAGTGAAGTGTCTCAGCTGTGGGCAGTGGGGAGGGGGCTGAAGGCAGGGGAAAAGGAGAGGCAGAGAGAGGGAGGCTGGAAGGGGCAGCAGGAGCAGTCATTGGGGAGGGAGGTGATCATCTCCAGCCCTGCCCAGGCCCTTTCCCTGCACCCGCCCTGGGCAGAGTCACTGTCCTGTGACCAAGGTGAGGAGCAGGGAGAGGAAAAGCCAGTCCCTGCCCCTGCCCGGTCCCTGATCAGTTCTTTGGATTCTTCTCTGCTCTGATCATTGACTCTTACTGGGAGGACATAAAAGTAGTTTGCTAGATTTGGTGAGTCTGCTCCTGGGGGAGTGGGCTACATCCCTGCTGCAGTCAAAGGAAAGCAGATCGTCTCACAATAAAAGCCTCTAGAACATCTGCCTTGCAAAACTACCTGACCGGTCCTCATATTATGACTGTGGACCAGTGGTTCTCAAGGGGTGCTTTGAAATCCTTTCAAGGGCGCCATACAATGTTAGCATCATGAGGTGTGCAAAAGTGATTCACACGATAATCTCAGAGATTTCACATAGGAATCCATAGTGTCAAAAGCATTCTGACTTGTTGTGGGCTTTCCGAGTTCTTTCAACAGAATTGCTTTAGTGTTTTCCTGTAGTTAGAAAAAGAGTGAAACTAAGAGCTGGCATTTTTGAAGGGGAGTTTCGAGTCTACTGAGTCTAAAAAAGTTGAGAACCACTGGTCTAGACGAAAGGAGCTGGTCCGAGGTGGAGTGGAGGGGCAGGGATGTGCTGTAGTCCTTGAGCCAGAGCTGACATATGCCATCTTCCCCTTTTTGTTTTTCACAAAAGCTTTTAGAAGATTCTTCCCCCCCAAAAAATGTCTTGTTCTTCTGCAGTGAGTAGGAATTTGCATCTATCCCTGTATCTGACTTCGTGGGATTGTGGATGGGATAACAGGTGTAGAAAGATGAACTCTTGCTGTTTCAGGAGCTGGTGATCTTCCACGGAATCTGCTGAACTCCAGACGGAGAATCCTCTGCAGGGAGGACATGGGGGAGAATTATAAGACGATGGTCTCCCTTGGTAAGGGTTTCTTTTACTCTCATATATCAGGAGCTCTGGGGGCTCTGAAGTACCTGGCTCAGCTTTTGCTCAGGTTCTTCCCTGGTCTGATTTCAGGGGAACTATCCCCATAGTTCCCAGAAGCCACGTGAGGGAGGCTGTCCCCTCCACAGCTTCTCCCATGGGAGAGAATAATCAGTGGGAGAGATGAGGTCCTAATGGATCGGCATCCCTGCAGCATCCCAGGGAAAGGATGGATTGTATGTGCCTCTCGCTATACTTGTAAACACAGGCTCAAACTTAGACACAAAAGTACATTGAATGTCCTTCCTTTCCCAGCACAGGCTCTGGGGCTAAGCTGGGTAGGAGGTTGCACATATGGACTGCGCCTGAATGTTTTGTGGGGGGAACTGTACCTGCCCTCGGAACCTTCTTGCCTACCCAGCGGTGCTCCAAGAGCATATTTCACCTGTTTGGTTTGTCTTGTAGTGTAGTACTATCTATCCAGCATATTTTGAAACAGCTCTATCAGAGTAAGAGGACTTCCCTGATCTCATTTGCTTTCTTTCCGTGGGGCAGAACTGTGAATTCCAACACACAGACTGAGCTCCAGGCAGAGGCATTCGCCCTGGATCTGCAGGTAGAGGCATTCGCCCTGGATCTGCAGGTAGAGGCATTCGCCCTGGATCTGCAGGTAGAGGCATTCGCCCTGGATCTCCAGGCAGAGGCATTCACCCTGGATCTCCAGGCAGAGGCATTCGCCCTGGATCTGCCGGCTTCAGAAAAAAATGAGACCACAAGAGGCAGCCACACAGGTGAGGAAATGAACAGACGTGGATACAACCATCCACTAGTGTGAACACCTGGGATTTCCACAATGGCCCCAGGAACTCTTATCAGTTCTGCCTCATCCCACCCAGATCAGGATTGTTCCCAGGAGGTGCTGTGCCCTCATGCAGACATTATTCGTGACTCCCCAAACAGCCTGGCTGACACCCGGCCATAGCCCCCTTCCTCAGGAATGCTCAGGTCCTGCTCTTCCGTCTCTTCTGGGCAGAGATTTGTGGAAGTAGATACCCAACTTCTTCATCTCCCCATGCATTAGTTTGGTTTGTTTCCCTCTGTCCTATACCCTTCTCTGAGTCCTCCCCAGCACAGCCAGTGACTCCTGTCTGGACTCTCCCTCTGTCCCTGCAGGTGAGGGGATGGTGAGTGAGACTGAGGTGGACAATCCCCAGCCAAAGAGTCCTGAGCACATGCAGCCATGGGAGACATCAGTGCGAAGAGCCTCGCAGTGCTCAAAGCAGGGAAAGCCCTGTAAGAACCAGTACCAGCCAAGGGAGCAGCCATGGGACCTTCCTGTGAAGGGCCAGGAGAAACCCATGTGCAATGTGAGGGGTGAGGAGAAAGCCACAATCCCACCAAAGAGCAGTGTGAGAAGGATGTCGTATGAGTGCACCGACTGCGGGAAAACTTTCCATCAGAAATCCAACCTCGTTGTGCACCGGCGGGTCCACACTGGGGAGAAGCCCTATCCCTGCCCTGACTGTGGGAAGCGCTTTGGCCGTAGGGCTCACCTCGTCCGGCATGAGAGGACCCACACGGGTGAGCGCCCGTATCACTGCCGCCGCTGCGGGAAGAGCTTCCGCGACAGCTCCGACCTCATCAAGCACCAGAGGACCCACACCGGGGAGAAGCCCTATGCATGCCCCGAGTGCGGGCGGTGCTTCAGCGATGGCTCAGCCCTGATTAAGCATCAGACAATCCACACGGAGGAGAGGCCCTACCAGTGCCCCGACTGCGGGAAGAGTTTCAGCTACAGCTCGGCCCTGATCAAACACCAGACCATCCACACAGGGGAGAGACCCTACCGATGCCCCAGCTGTGGGAGGAGCTTCAATGTAAGGTCCAACCTCATTATACACCGGAGAACCCACCTGGGCGAGAGACCTTACAAATGCCCCGACTGCAGAAAGAGCTTCAGCAACAGCTCACACCTGATCCGACACCAGCGGATCCATACGGGGGAGAGACCCTATAAATGCCCTGACTGCGGGAAGAGCTTCCGTGACAGCTCAGTCCTCATTACCCATCGAAGGACCCACACGGGGGAAACGCCCTACAAGTGCCCCATCTGTGGGAAAAGCTACAAGGCAAAGGTCTCTCTCACATCCCACCAGAAACTCCATGCAGGGTAGAAGGCAGTGGGAACTCCCCCTGTGGGGTGATGGGTCTAGACCCTCCTGAAGCAAAGTGCAAATGTACTTCACTTGATGGGCTGGGTTGGAGCATCAAGTGGGTTGAGCAGTTTGGGATTCAGTGTATGATGGCTGGCAGGAGCTGGTGAGGAAATCAGCAGCAGGTTGGCATGTTCCACACGCACTTTACAATTGAAGATGGCCTGTGCCAGTCTGTCTCTGAGGGATCTCAGGGCTTCTCAGGGTTGGGGCAGGAGGTCCTGTAGGGTGTGATTATATGACAAGGAAAGCTGCTGGTCTGAAATGCTAGGATTTCAGAGTGATGCTCAATGTGCCAGGCACCTTACCAAGTTGAGTTGAGGGCAGGTGGGAAATAGAAACACTCCCTTAGGTAGGAAGAGATTTTTTCCACCAAGGGGGGTGCCGTTCCTATGAGGGCAGCATGTTGTAATAGTGAGAACAGGGGATCCTGGGATTCAGGACTCTTCGTTTCAGTGCCAAGTTTTGAGAGCCACGTCTAAGGGAGGGAGTGGGATGACTGGCAATGAGGACTCCTGGGTTCTTTAACCAAGTCTGCTAAAGTCTCTTTGTGTGACTGTATGCCAGACACTTCTTTTGCTCTCTGTTCCTCCCCATCATTACAATGGCAATCATAATAGCAATAGCCACCCATCTCTGCTTAGAGCCATGAGGCATGACTAAGTATTGGGTATTAAGTGGCTCAGGAAAATGAAGGAACCAAGGGAAGGGGAATTTAGTAGTAGCAGCAGTAATAATCATAATTATAATATCTGACATCCTCTTGCCCCTTCCCAGCTCTCTCTGTCAGCAGGAGAGTTTTGTTGAGCCAAAGGGAAGCATTTTAGCTGGCACCCCTCATTCTTGTTTTGCTCCACATTGACTCATACTCCACTCCCCTAAGATATAACTGTGCTAAAAGGGATTTCAATGGGGAGAGGGTAAACCTGGGGAGAAGTCTTGTGTTTTTGGAAATCCAGGTATTTGCAGTTGTCTTTTTTTTTCTGAAATGCTATTTCAATTGGTCTGCTTATGTTTGAGCAACAGGCCATATACATTTTCCACAGTTGGTGGCTGCATATCCAGAGCACATGGGTGGATGGACTGTCTAGTCAGCAGTGACCTCTGCGTTGGAAGAGGTGCCCTTCACTTCCTCTTCTCCTAGACAAAGGTTTAGGCTATTGGTCTTCAGCTACTGTCCCATCACCTGCTGGGTGACAACACTGGCCAGTTCACACACTGTGGTTAACATCAGAAATCACTCTACGTGTTAACATGATGAATTATGTTTTTATGAAAAGCAGAATTTCCTGTGGCCACAAGCAATGCTGGAGGGTCTTTTGTGCAACCTCTTGCCTGTGAGCTGTGAGTCTTTCTCAGATGACGTGGACAAGAGGTTAAAATTTAAACTCATTAGTATGGACAAAATGTAACCTAAAATAGTCATTATTTTCTCATGTTTCTCACTTTGCTGTAGCACTATTATATAGTTGCAGCTGGTTACCCAGATTACAGGTAACCTTGCAAGTTGGCTACTGATAAAAGAGGTCTATAGCCCAGCTTTTTATTTATTTGTACTTCAAAGTAGAAAAGCAAACATGTATCCCAAAGCCTGTATGGCTACTTGTGACAGGACAACATAGATTTTCACCGATACCAGCTGGGAAGACTCAAGATTGGCAGCACATCTTCTTAAATTTGCTGAGTTCTCCACATTTTCCTTCAGCCTATGCCCCATATTTATAGATGGCTGGTTTTAACGTTCTAATAAATGCCTGTTGATCCATTTTGTTTGAATGTGTTTCATTGAAACGTTTGGAACTGGACTCAGCCAGGTTTTCTGTGGATGTGAAAGGTTTGTTGGGATTTATGTTTCTGTGAAGATTACACTTCTGGAGGGAAGGATTCGTATCCCCTCTCTTCACCATTACTGCTTGCCCTCATCCGATTTTACCCATCCACAAAATTTATGGTCTTCCAATAAAACAAAGCTGCCTTGTTTTTTTACAGCTTATCTGTAACAGCGGTGAAGCACTGGAACAAGTTACCTAGAGAGGTGGTGGACTCTCCATCCTTGGAGGTTTTTAAGGCTCGGCTCAACAAAGCCCTGGCTAGAATGATCTAGTTTGGGATGGTCCTGACTGGAGCAGGGGATTGGCCTAGATGACCTCCTGAGATCCCTTCCAACCCTCATTTTTATGATTCTATGATTTAGAAACTTAACAAAAATATACCTATTAAAGCAAAACACCATCTAATACATTTGGTTACATCAATTGCTTTACGCTAAAACTATGATATAGTATACTCAGATGATTTAGTGTGTAGTATTCCCTTATAATGTATCTTTTCAGGGCTTGTGCTCTTTCTAATTTTATCTCATTACTGGTTTAAATATGTTGATGGCTTCCTTTACTTTGCTGACTGAGCTAGTTCTCACATCTTCAAAAGTTTACTCTATGGTCACTCAGAAACATGCTTTGGGGCCTGAACCACACTTCTGTATTTTGGCCCTAGGCCCCTTAAAACTAGCTGAGGCTGGCAACAAGATCCAATAAAATATGACACCTGTCAAATCTCTAGAACTGAGTGCTTGGGCACAAGACATCTATACCTTAATGTGAGCAGACTTTACACTGCTTTAAGCAAAAATAAGCATACAATGTACAGTCATACACAGCAAACATTTACTTGAATTGGGTATAGATTTACCCCCATTAAAAGCAGGCCTAGAACTACCCCCGTGTGTCATGTGTCCAAGCTATCCCAAAGTAATATTTGATCTAGGCAAGTAGATTGTTACCTGTTATCTTCCCACCTAGTGGCATGACACCACAGTGGGTGCATCTACTGCATGTTGTCCTGCGGCGACATAGTGATGCACTACATCGCTGTACAGCGCGCTATGACAACATAAAGATTACACAGGTCTACATATGATTGCCTGTTACATCACCATGGTGGCGCACTCCCCACTTATACCATGCCACTATAGCAACGTAGCAGGGAAATCAAAGTGTGCACTGCCCATGTGGCACAGTACCTGCCTGTGCTGCACTGTGCTATAGTACTTCTGAAAGGAAGTACTAAAACACGGCGCCATAGCAACATTGCCATATGGCAATGTGTAGACATGCCCAGTAACACCTACAAGTGACTACGATGAATGAAGGTGATCTGTCCACTTTGGACACTGGCATAATTTACATCTGTATACAGATCTGATACAAACTTCCCCAGTGTAAATATGCTGTGTGTCCAGGCTCCTGAGTATTAGTAGGCCAGTGGATCTGAGTGGGGTTTGGTGAACATAAATGCATTAAAAATCTGAGAAGAAAGGCTTTATTGTGGTACTTTTTCCTGCACCAACTGCATAGTTGGGAGAAGTGTTAGACAAACTTGTGAGCATCAGGCGCCCTTTCTCAAGTCTTGCCTATGCAGTTGGTCCAGTAAAGGGTATCACAAGAAAGTCTTTCTTCTCAACATTTTCTGGACTATCATAGCTACAACAACACTCCCAACTCCATTAAAAAGTTGAGGTCATTGGATACTACGGGAGATGGGGGTCATATAAGACACCTGAGCTGAATGTTAAAAATATGGAAAGTATTTGAATATGAGCAAGATATTTATATAGCATTTATGCACAGATCTCTAAATTCCATTGTGGCTATATCTGCATAATTTTACTTTTCTGAGTTAAAGACGTAGAATTATAATCACATTAGTGAACAAGACTCAAATACATATCCACAGGTTTATGGCAGAAGATAAAGGGATAATTATACAAGGGAGATCAGCTAATTTGATATGGTGATGAATACCATTGAACTTCATGGAAAGTGTTTTGGATTTCCAGAGGAACAGACCACTAATCCCTGCCTGGATGTAAGATAATGTATTTGTCTTAAAATACTGGTCACTGTACAAACACACCACAAGTCACAAAAGTGCACATTGAGCTGTTACATACATTTTTCTTTTTCTGTAGAAGTGATTTCTTTTGTTTTTTTTAAATTTTGTGTCTCAGGCCATATTAGCCAAATCAGTTCTGAATTCCAATGACTGAGCAGAGCTCAGTTGTTCAAGTTTGTGTGACGCTACCACCGGCAAACATCTTATCCCCCAAACTCTTCTGCCTGGGGCTTTAGAGTCCCAAATCCCTGGCAGGCATCCTGCATGCAACCACCAAGGCCTTGGAGTTCAGATACCCTCTAGTCTTGCTTGCCCCCTTGCCAAAAGACCATAGGAGCAAACTAGAGTGAGAGCACAAGAGCAATCTCCCATCACTATAAATTGTACAGCCAAGATCCTCCCATTGAGAGGCAGTAAAACCACCTATGTTGAAACCATCACCATGGTATCTCCCCTGGCAGGCATCTTAGTTTTGTTTGCTCCTAGCCAAAAGGCTAATACGTGCTACTGTCCATTAAGTGCAAGGTCCTTCACCACCAACTCTTTTTCAAGCCATTGCAAACCAAGGTACAGTGCAAGCCCAGTGCCTGTGTGTGGTGGCTTGTCTCTGTGTGAAATACTAGTCAAGGAGGCTTTGATACCATCAAAGGAGACTTGAGTCACTGAAGCATTTTACAGGCCCTGTAGTGCTTTCATTATTATTATCATGTGTATTTTTTTTGTTAGGGAGCCCCTTATCCACTTGTGTAGGTTTAATGTGTCTGCAGAGTCTCATAGCACCTCAGAAAAGTTTTCTTCTTTAGTATAAAATGTTATAAAAAAACTTTCATTGTGGTGGAAAACTGCTGCCATGAGGCATTTATCCCGCACAAGGGATTACATTCCTTAATACTCAAGTTTCTCCATCACATTTGAGAATCAAATGGTTTCCCACATGAGATTAATTTAAAATGACACATCCCCTGTTTATACGGCATGCTCAAATTTTTAAATATATGCATAAGACAAAGGATCTTTATATTTCCTCACCTCAAACAGCTGTTTCTCAGGTCCAGCTTTCCCACCCCACCAGTCTCTCTCATCATTCCTGGACCATCGCTGCTACAACAACACTCCAACCCTACCAAGGCTTTAAAAACAATCTCCACCAAGGATTTTTGTCCATACTATCTGCCTTTCACACCATGACTGGATAGATTCTGTAGACTTCATTCATAGATTTCATAGATGTTTAAGGTTGGAAGGGACTTCACTAGATTGAGTCCAACCCCTGCCCTGGGCAGGAAAGAGCGCTGGGGTCAGGTGACCCCAGCCAGGTACTTGTCCAGTCTCCTCTTAAAGACCCCTAAGGTAGGGGAGAGCACCACCTCCCTTGGAAGCCTGTTCCAGATTCTGGTAACCCATACCGTAAAGAAGTTCTTCCTGATGTCTAACTTAAATCTACTCTCTGTCACTTTGTGGCTGTTGTTTCTAGTTACTCCAAGGTGTGCCCTGGTAGATAGAGCATCTCTTATTCCTTGCTGCACTCCCAATGAATTTGTAGACAGCCATTAGATCCTCCCTCAGCCATCTCTTGCAGAGGCAGAAGAGATCCAGGTCCTGCAATCTCTCTTTGTAGGACCTTACCTGCAGGCCCCTAACCATCCAAGCAGCCCTCTTCTGGACCCTCTCAAGGTCATCCACATCCCTCTTGAAGTGAGGCACCCAAAACTGGATGCAGTACTCCATCTGTGGCCTTACCAATGCCACACAGAAGGGAAGCATCGCCTCCTTAGCCCTGTTCATGATGCACCTGTTAATGCATGATAGCGTGTGGTTAGCTCTATTGATCACTTTGTCACATCGACGACTCGTTTTCATCTTTGAATCAACTATGACTCCAAGATCGCTTTCTGCTGCACTGCTGCTTAGGTCATCTCCCAGTCTATAAGTGTGTTGGGGATTCTCTCTCCCTAGGTGCAGTACTTTGCACTTATCTTTGTTAAATTGCATCTTATTCTGTTCTGCCCACTTTTCCAGGTGTCCAAATCCACCTGAATCCATTCCCTGCCCACCAGTGTGTTTACTTTGCCCCATAATTTGGTGTCATCCATTCAATTTGGGCACTGTTGTTGATGTGGTTGCATCTTTCATTACCTGCCTGAGGATTTCTGATCATCGGTCTTTGAGGCCGAGATTGAAAGGATGAATAAGATGACCACCCTTTGGCATTTCCTGAATAGTATCTTTGCACAATCCTTGTTTTAATCCTTACTATGAACAATTTGCTCAAGATACAATATTTTACCATGTATCACCATAGGTTCTTTAGGTACAAAATAAAAAATTTAGCTAATCACAAAAGCAGTCTCTTGGCCCATATATGAACTGCTCATCCCCTTGCTACCAAGCATTATATTCCTTGTCTCTCTGTAATTAATGAAGCTTGATTAAAATTCTCTTCAGGTATTGCCTTTTTGCTTATCAAATAAATGTCTAATTTCCCTGTTTTCTTTCTAATTCCCAAATGTTGGCAGCAAATCTACTCATGGTTTTGACATCAGCAAGGCCCTGGTTTGATGATGTCCCATTTAATACAAATCCTGGCCCAACTAGCTCAGTTGGTAGACCATGAGATCTTTAATCTCAGGGTTGTGAGTTTGAGCCCCATGTTGGGTATGTGGTACCTTTATTTCTGGCTGGGGTCATCTGACCCCCAACACTCATTCCTGCCCAGGGAAGGGGTCAGACTCAATGATGTTGAGGTCCCTCCCAACCCTAGCATCTATGAATGTTAGGCAAAGAGGAAATCAGCACATTTTACTTTTATTCTATTGATATCCAACCCCCCAGCTACTCAGGAAAATGATAGAATAAAGCTGGAAGGGACCTTAAATAGTCAACTAGTCCAAACCCCTGCATCTCAGCAGGCTACCAGGGATTACTTTCTCTGGAACCATATTATACTGTTGACTCATATTCAACTCATGATTCACTATCACCCTCAGAACTTTTTCTTACCCAAGTGCTCCATTTGGTACTTGCACATCTGATTGTTTCTTCCCAAGTGTAGTACTCTGTACTTCACTAAATAGTCTCCGAATCAAGGTTCTTCCCTTATCATTTCCAGAACTCAAGAATTTAGTAAATAATAGGATGCTGCTGAGACAAGAGTTTCACAACCACCCTTTTATTAGGAATGTACTAGGAAATACAGAAACCATTCAAGGTGAACAGATAATCTAGAAGCTAATACACTGAGTAGATGGTCTGAGAAGGTTTTAAGGTATTTGTACTTACTGTATACCCACACATCATCTATCATTTTAAAGCTTAGTGTTGATTTGCACAAGATTCAGAAGTTATGAAAAAGTCTGGAAAAATGTGAGAAATGGATTTAAAAAGCAGACACAGAAAATGCATTAGGTAACACAGGACAAGCACACCTGCTACCTACAAACTCTTAAGCAAGCTGGCAGGTAGTGCTGGGCTTCAGTCTCTGTGAGACTTCATGGGAAGCAGATCTCTGCCTGATCATCACCTGACACAATAACGCCACCTACTTAGAACAAGTTTTGTGTACATGCCTTTAAAACTATTTAATTGCAATTTCTTTGCTTTTTTGTCTTGTTTTTTTTTTTACTTTTTAGCAATTTCAGCTGTAAGTAACTGCTCAAGATATTTTATTTTTGTTTCTAAGCTACAAGGAACTCAACTTGCTACATATTTAACATTTTTAAACATACT